AAATCAGTATGTTCCACACTATGGTTCTTGTTTAGAAAGTAGGTTGTAAAATACCTATTCATGAAGTTTTCATTTGTAGGATTCCTGTCCTGTCTCCCTTGCAAAATTCATTAGACACTTTCAAAACTATCCTTCATCAGTACTTTTTGCATCACGTATTCAATGTGGGACAACTGAATAGAGTTTTATACAGCCATTTATGCATAATCATGCATCAGAGACAGAGGCCATATATCACAACTGAAGCAAAAATCAATCTTTTTTAAATTTGTGTTGATATTTTTTAAGCTATCTAAAAAACATGCAGCAATAATTAAATACAGTAAAAACACACATATAAGAACAAGTGGATTAAGAACACCCAGGCCTGATTTTAGGAAATATAGTACCATTTATATAAGAACACATTCAGCCTGAAAAATGAAAGTTATTCTTATATGGAAAAATGTCAAAGATCAACACTATTTTTCATTGCAAACATAAATTATAGTTCCACCCCAATTATGTGTAACAAAATATTAAACAAAAAAATAAAAAAATATGTACTTCACCTATTGGTAGCCTAGTATGTTCCTTATTTMAGGAAACCTTCTTTTAAGAACACTTAAGGACAATTACAGGCTGATTTTGCAGATTATAACCCTTTATATAAGAAACAAATCAGCCTGAACCGTCAAAATAGGTGTTCTTAAACACAGGTTTTTACTTTATTCCACCTTTTAGTAATTGCCTTTAGGAAGATGACTTTAACTTTTTTTMCTTTTCTTTTTAAACTTGTACATTCTTCTCCAGTTTTACTTGTACCATTGGTTCTAGCTCAAGGTCTTTAACCATTGAATTTAAGGCATTTGATTGTTTCAAAGACTTCTTTTTCCTTTTTGGTTCCCAAGAAGAGACATCCAACTCTGTCATATCATTTTTTAACTTTCTTTTTCTTAGTGTCAAAGTCTCTGCCTTGATTTCTGCTGATGCATCTGTTGATGTCTCTCGCTTAGTCTTGTTTGTTTTCAAACTGGAATCTCTCRGTCCTTCTCCAGTAGAATTATCCTTCTCTTTGTCACCGTTATTATTCGCTTTACCATCTAATGATTTCGACTTCTTTCCTCTTCTTTGCTTAAATTTCTTCTTTTTTTCATTTAACTTTTCTGCTCGTTTTTCTCCTGAGCCACCTCCACCACAAGTGACTTCAACATTTATCTTTCTTCCACCTASTACACTGTGATGAAGATTCAGTGCTTTCTAATGAAAAGAAAATCAGCATCAACATCAAATGAGTTGAAATTTGAGGTTACTAGAAGATAACAAGAAACTTAATAAACAATACAGATACTTCTATAAATTAAAGTTTTGTATTTAATAAGTGGGTTCCATTAAGTTTCCAGTAGCCCACAGCAATAGCCCACAGCCTGTGGTYACAATTATCACGGTGTACATTATAATGCCTCAAGATAACGAAATTCAATTTCTGAAAAAACTTGTACACAATTCAATTTCAATGTCTTTACTCAGTGAATAGGTTCTGTAACAATAACCTACTAAGGCTACCAAAAAACAATACACAATCTGAATGTGAACCCCCAATACTTTAAGGTACTCAAATATATAATTGAAGATGAATTAATGACATTTTACCTCATAACTAACGAAGTCATCAAGTTCAAGAAATCCACAGCCTTTTGATGTTCCACTGTCTTTTTTGGTCATAAGTCGAAAATCAGTCACCCCCCCTGGAAAGAAAAAGATTGTATGAAGTAAACACTACTGATGGAATATTCCATGTTCCATGTTCCYCCCTGCCCCCCTCTCCTAGAGCCGTTTACACCGCYAAAAATAAACAAAAGGATGGAGTAAATGACATCATTTACTTTCAAATTTCTAAGAAATTGTGAAAACATCTTGTCAAAATACATTGCATTGTAATTATAGGACTGTTATTGAAAAGTCTGCAAGAATTGTGCATTTTCCATACTAGTAGCCCTTTAATACTAGTAGCCCTTTAAAATAATGTCTACCAAGTTTAGATTGCTTTGAGAAAAAGTAAAAGAAAAACTTGAGAAAAACTTTGATGTTTTTGACTATTTTAAAAAAGCTTATCTACAATATTTTTCTATAAAATTTTTTTTTATAAAATAATAGACTTACCAGTACACCTAAAATGATGTATGATATCTTCCTTTTCAAGATCAAACGGCAGGTTTCCTGGTTTTGATATAAAAAAGTTTATTACAATTCTTAGTAGTAAATCATTTGTTAGAGCGGATTTCGTATGACTGTGCAAAAGCACGGAACACAACATGGACACGGCACG